CCCCCATATCCTCCTGTGAAAATGATCCAGCCACCATGGAAGTCAGTTTGAAGGGTCTTCAAGGACCTACATATAGATCAGCCATATGGCCCAGCTATCCCTCGCCTGGATATTTAGCCAAGGGATTCTGTGGTAACACATGCCAGGCAAATTTGTATACCTGTGTTTATTGTAGCACTATGTCTAAGTTAAGAACCAACCTAGGTGTCCAGCAACAGACAGAAGTATTACATACATGAACTTTTTAGTCACGAGAAAGAGTGGTTATGTCTTGTGCAAGAAAGTGGATCCAATTGGAAGTAATCATAGTAAAGAAATGAAATCAGCCTCAGAGTGTCTCAAATATCCCATATATTTTCTCATTTGTGATTCCTAGATTTTTGAATAGATTAAATCAAGCAAATGGGACAGTAAAGAGTGTTAACAGTAGCCATGGACTTCAAAGTAGAAGGGTAAGGAGCAGTAACAGCAGGGAGGGAAGGGGAAGAAGGGAAAGATGGGCAATGTGAAGGGAAAGAGCCTCAAAGTACATGCATCCATGTATGAGACATGTACTTATACAACCCCTCTCATGTACAATCAACACAGATGAATTGCAATTAAAATTGAAAAAAAAGAAAAATTCTGTACAGAAGACTTGCAGCAGGAAGCCTATTTGCGAAGCCTTATATTTTAAAGAAATTTTCAGTATAGTCTTTTGTGTTTTAGTGAGTGCATCCGCTGAAGACGAGATGTAAGAAAATAAATATAGTTGACAGGATGTTTGAAGGTTAGCACTTCATTTATTGTAAAGTTAGCGCTTCTACAAACCAGCTGAACAAATAAACAGCCTGACCTACACGGCTTGACTTGACTTGCTCACAGACTCCAGGAAGAATGTGAGAAGCCTCTGCTGCCAGCAGGAGCACAGAGTGCAGTGTGCACCATTTTGACAGGCTTTCACTCATTGATTCTTTGTCGTGTTTGAGATCTCATAACCCATGAGCACAGTTTCCTTTTGTATTGCTGCCACAGACAAACTTTAAATATTTGTTCTTCTTCACCAGAGACAGGGAGATGAAATCCAAGAATACTGGCCCAAAAGCAACCAGTTTGCCGAAATAATAAAGTCCATCTACTGTAGCGTGCTAGCTTGTTTTTTAAAGTTTTCTTCTTTCATTGTCTATTTATTGTTTACTTCATATACAAGAATAATTTGTGTACATACATAATTTCCTATTTGTTTATAACGATTTATTCTTTTGTAGTTTTGATCTAACATTAGTCCTCTTTGAGACTGAAAATGGTTATTTTTATTATTCGGCTTCTCACTTTCATCTTTATAAAATACTCACTTTAAAAGTTTAGGCTTTGAGTATTTTCTAGCACAAGGCAAGTTTTGGAAAGGTAGGAGTCTCAGCAAGCATCTAGGGACAGATTAGTATTCAACCATGTCAATACACAGCAGGCTCCCACCCTTTCCTTACTGAATGAGCAAATGAAGGCTGCTCTGCCTTGGAGCCATTGGTATTTTTCATATGATTCACTACAGTGGCTGTGAGACACATTCTGTTCTTACAAGGCTGCTGGGAATAAGCCCTGGTCTTTACCTTCGAGATGCCACACCCCCTGCCCACACACATAGAAATAAAAATATCATTCAACACTGTCAACAGGGCAATGGAGGCAAATCTCCCTCTATTGAGAATAAGCTCTCCTCTGAAGGAAGGTGGATGGATTGTCTTGCTGGGTCAAAGGAAGTATGCATAGTTATGAGTCCCTATCCTAAAACCAAAAGGATAGTTTCATAGGCAACACAGAGTACTTCATTAGATGGCTTATGCGCCATCAAAGTTAACCCAGTAACCGAGCCCTTGCAGCATGTTCATTAGAATAAGATGGAAACTAGGTTTTACTATATTGGGCCAAAAGAGAAAAGGTCCTCTTTAAGTCACCTGAAATAAAACGATGGCAGTGTTCACGACCCCTTTCCTTCTCTTGCTGATCTATTTGGAAGGAAACCAGAGTTATCCCCAGGTCGTATACACTGGGTCTAACCCCAAAGTCTACCAAATATTTAGCATTGCAAATGTGATGTGGAGCTCAAAATTTTTTGTCTATTTTGGTGATGCAGCTGTTGGGGACATATACATCTGTGGAATGCGAAAAGAAACGCCTGACAATGTGCCATTGTAGTCTAAGCCATTACACCCTCGTTTGCCAGTTTCGTATGATGCCTGAAGAACTGGAAAAATATGTCACCAATTTAGCTAGGAGAAATGCTGAGTATGAAGAGAGATCTGAGGGACTAAGTACGGTAACCAGACTACATTAGTGTCAGGTTCTTGGCTTAATGATCGCAAATGGACGAACTCATGAAAGTTACCTCCGGCTTGGTATGCTATCCATAGAGAAGGAGAGCTGGCAGGGATGGAGCTTAAATGAAATACAGGAAACAGTGCAAGCCTCTGTGTGTAGCAGAAACTCAACTGATACTATCAGGAAAATTACCATCAACGAACAGATGTTATACTCATTAAGCTCATTGATCACTATGCAAAGAGCAAAGATTATGCTTTGGAGTGCAGAGACAATGAGGTCAAAGCAACATAATGTCAATTCTTGTTTTCCCTACTTCTCTGTGTGAAATCTGTTTAGTCAGCTGAGGTTAAATAGCAACAAAACCCTTACTATCTCAGTTCTTTGGGGTCCCAAAGCATGTCTTACTCAGCTTCCTGTTCACCACTACTCAGTTTCCCGTTCACCACTACTCAGCTTCCTGTTCACCACTACTCAGTTTCCTGTTCACCACTACTCAGCTTCCTATTCACCACAACTCAGCTGCAGCTCCGTTCTACACCAGCCTTCTGTGACAACCCAGACTGTCAACAGTGCCTCCATGTAAGTCTTCTCCCCCGCCCCGTTTTTGGTAATCTAGGGACCAAAGCCTGGCCCTTGCATATGCCAGGTAAATGCTCTGCCACTAGGCTGGTGTGCCAATCTCTACAAGGAAATCATTCATCCTTTAGTGTTAGGAAATAAGCCCGAGGGTAGATTATATAAAATTCCCCCAACTTACCCTCAGAAATACCCATTGTCTCTGAAGGTCACATGACTGCTCCTGAACCAAAAAGGAAGGGGCACAGTCTACGAGTGGATGGTGAGCACTGCAGTCTGGACCTTTACCTGTTCAAGGCTGTTTTGGAAAGACTCAGTTATTGAAAGAATTGAAGCAAGAGATACTGTCTTACACAGGCTAGCTACAAAATCTACAAGAGTCCACGAAGCACCTAGCTACAGTATTGTGTGTTCTATTTCATAGGCAAAAAGAAACAGGTTGGCTCATGTGTTTATAAACACGCATTCAGAACATCGAGTACCAAACACTTGATTACGCTCCACCCCTCCCACTTACCTTGTAGTTGCATAAAGGCTTGTGTTTCGCGCGATTGTTTCCCATTGTTTCAGACGCTCTCTGCTTGTCGGAAGAGCAGTAGGAACAAAGCTGGGGCTGCAGATGGCGCAACTGGCCTGTTGGGGCTCCTACTCTTGCAATTTCGAATTTTTCTTTTATAAAATCCATTGACAGGATTGGAGGGGGGTCTCTCCTAAAAGCTCCCTTTCTTGCCCAACTCTAGACTGCTGTCTCTCCTTATAGACTGCAGACCATTCTTTTTCTATATTTATTTCCCCCAGCCCTAACTATTAAATACACCCCTCACATATTTCGACACACTCCAAGCCTTTTTGGCAAAACTTCGTAGTAAACAGATGGACTCTTCTGTGTTGCTGGGAGACCACTTCATATGTAGAATCCAGTCCAAAGGGAGAAGAAAGGGCTGCACAGGGTGATAGGCCTGCCCACTTCCCTCCCGTGTTCCCCATCTTCTCCTTCCTCTATGCTTTCTGCGTCTCCGATTTTATCTGAGCTCCAGGCTCAGTGCCTGCAAGCTGAACAGCACTGAGCAGGTCACTTCCCCTCAGCGACCTCCAGTGTCCTCATCTCAGGACAGAGGCTAACACTATTAACCCGTGGGTGTTCCATGAATAGTTAATGAAATGATGAAGTCTGTTAAGCTCTCAGCAAGGTGTTTTCTTGATTGACAGAACTCCATTATTGCTGCTGATTGTATGCAGCAAGGTTGACCCATGAAGGGGTGTGGGGTGAGCTACTTCTCATAAAATTCTTAGCAGAGTTTGACTCCGGTTGGGGTGGAAACTGTTTCTTATCTATCAGTGTTTTGGAAAGGTTCATTTAGGGGATTGACACGAGGTTCAAAGAGACCACGTAGGTTTGAAATGTCCTTTAAGTTCGAGGCCAGTTTAGTCCTTCATGTATTGGTTCTAATCCCATCTGTATTCTACTTTTAAAATAGGGAGAATTTGCTCCGGATCTTACACACGGTCTGAAGATTACCTATCTCCCTGGTACCCAGTGCTATAGTCAAGATCAATTGATTTCGGTTCCTACCACTCTATGCTGACACCCCTCACCCATCCCCAAACACACACACACACACACACACACACACACACACACACACACACACACACACACCTGTCTCCCTTTCCAGTTGTCCCTCTCTCTTACCACCCCTGTCTCTCTCCAGTCTACACCCAGGTTTCCTCCCCGGCCCCTGCTTCCTGGAGGGGAATAAGCAGTGTGCTGTCTGGGGCTGGACCCCAGAATCTGATGGATGCTTTCTTCGTCATAGAGAAGTCACCAGAATGAATGTGAATGCATGTCTCCACTGACAGTAAGGGTTCTTTTCTTACCGGAAGCCCCTTGCAGCGGACAACCTTCTTGCTGAGGACATGAGCTTTTTTTGGCCAGCCAGCAGCCCCCAAAGTTTCCCCGGAGCCCAGAGCTGCGCGCGCTGGGCCTGGACCAATACGCGCAGGTTGTGTCTAGCCCACCCGGACGCCCTCCCCCGTGGAGCGTGAGGCTGGCCAATGACAGCCTGGCCCCAACGGCTTGCCTTTCTCCCCTCCCCTGTTGCTGCTCCTTTGCCCACTCTGCCCCGCCCACCCCTCTCCTGCTCCGTTTGCCTCCCGCAGTATTAGCTTCCCGAGCGCGCAGCGCAAGCGAGCCTCAGCGAGCGGTCACCGGCTGCCTGCTCCCTGCCAGCGTCCTGGCTCAGCTTCTCGCGGCCTGAATTGGCTTCTGACCCTGGGAACTGTGGATCAGACGAACTTCATCCCTGAAGGGAACAGGCGCGGGAGAAGACGTAGCAAGGGCGAGCCATGGACCCTGTGAGCCAGGTAGAACTGAACAGGGCGGGCAAGGCAGCTGGCCTGAGGTTGGGGAACGCCGGGGACCCTGACACCTGGACAGGTGTCCACAGTCCCCCGCTCATACTTTTTTCCTTTCTCTTCCTTGTCTTATTCATCCGTAGTTGGCTTCGGCGGGCACCTTTCGGGCACTGAAGGAACCTCTTGCCTTCCTGCGAGCCCTGGAGTTGGTGAGTAGCTGGGAGGCAACAGCTGCCAGGTGGAAAGAAGTCAGGTGGGGCGCTCTCTGCCCGGGTCTGTTCACAGCTTGGGGGTCAGCCTCCTTCAATCCTGTCTGCTCTCGAGCTGCTCGTCTGTCCGGGGATGCTAGGTAGGGTCGAGGTCACACTGGGATTCTAGGGGCGGGAGGTAAAGGGGGGGTGGACATGGATGCATTTGTGCAGAAGCTAGAATCATCTCCCTGGGAAGCGTTCTGGCAAGCAGGTGTGGGGAGCAGGAGAGGTGGGTGGGAGAAGAAGCCTCCAGGGCGCCTGGCCTCTTCCCTGGTCTCCTGTGAGCCTGATGCTAGACGGGGTATATATCCAGGAACACTTGGATGAAGAGCTGGGAGGACTTGTTCAAGCTGGAAAAGTTGGTCAGCATTGGGACAGCTTCTGTTCTGGACGGGTATACTCTGCTCTGAGATCACTGATCTGCTGGAAGCTCCAGCTAAATAGAGGGCTACTCCAGGAGGCTTGAGAGAGAGGATAGTATAGCGAGCAAGGACTTCTCTACCGTGGATACTCCTCTTGGATTCTTCTGGCTTTCCCCAGACGAATCCTTGATCAGCGTTCTCCCAGGGTTGGGCTGTGGGAAGTTATATCGCTCCTCTGGTTTGTTTCTGCTTTAAAAACCCATCTCAAAAGTCCTATGTAATTTGTCTGTAGACAGGAGGAAGGCACAGAAACGGTTACTCACGAGGCCTCCTGAAGCAATGGCAATACTGTTGGCTGAACTCATAGTTATCAGGAGTGGAGTCTATGGGACACACATTTCCTCTCGCTAGGAGCTCTGCAAGGCTAGAGAAGCCATCAGAACACAAAGTTCAAAGCCCGTCATGTGGCATTAATCACAGGCGCTAACACTGACTAGCTAGGAAATTATATAAGAGCCTGTTCCGTGCTTGAGGCAGAGACAAAAGAGTGTGGCTGGATTTGACTACACGAAAGCGTGACGCATGTTTACATTATAGTCTTGGTAATCACACCTGCCCTGTGCATTGATCAGAACAACAGTGCCTGATTGGATGATCAGTTTAGCCTCTGCCAGAAAGTTCTTTAAGAAGGCTCCAGCTGCTGGCTTTCAGTTGGCTATTCTGATATTATGTTTCCCTTATGCATGTGTGTGTGTGTGTGTGTGCGCGCCCACGTATGCACCAAGGCAGCCACGGTGCACATGTGAGATCAGAAGACAATATGAGAGTTAGTTCTCTCATTCCTCTTATTTAGATTTCTGGGATGGAATTCAGATTGTCAAGTTTGGCAGTATGGGCTTTTAGCTGCCGGGAGACTCTGCCAACCTTAATATTATTTTGTTGTTGTTACTGTTGTTATTTATTTAGTTTTGTGTTTTTCCTTGTTGCCAAGTCTAACAAGCTATGCTAGTCTCACAGTTGAAGGATCTTTTGGTTGGCTTCCTTAACCTCCTCCTTGAATTCTTTTACTTAGTCATTTAACCAGCGCCTCTTGTGGACTGACTTCTTAAAAATCAAAAAAAAAAAAGTATTTTAGTTGCCAGCTTACTTGACCCCTAAGTTCAGAAGCGTGACATCGCTTTCTGATATAACCTGCAACTCTCCTACATTGTCATTCTTGAAGGAATTTTTGCCCCTACTCACAAGGTCTCTGCAGATAAATGTCAAAGCCTGGCCGGTCTCAGAGTTTGTTTGGATCACAGCTTCCTGGACACCGAATTGGAACACGAGGAATCCATTCATCCACCGTCATTCTGAACAAGCCCCTTTAGGTAATTCTCAGATGCGCCAGTGCTGGCGGAACACCACTCTGGGGTACCCACCGCCTCTTCAGGATGCAAAGGCACTGCCATTTACCTCCCTTTACGTCTGTGAGCATTTATTCGCATTTCTCTCTTCACGTTCCAGGCCTAGAGAAAATGTTTGTCTTTTTGCCCGCCTCAGCTGAAATGCTAGTTCCTTGATAAAGTGTGTCTCCTACCTCCCCATTTCTGCCCCTAAACTGTGTTACTGATCCACTACATCTCCGAGCTTCTGTTACTTTAGTCATTTATGCACGGGAAGCATCACCCTGTATTTCATTTATTGTAGGTTCTTTTATTGAGAGTGGATGATTATAGTACTGGACAGAGGAAGAGTCAGCTTATACCCATGTGTGTGGACAGTGGCATGTGGTTCCTCTCTGACACACACACACTCAGGTGATGACAGTAACACCCAGTAGAAGTACAGTCTCCTAGTATAATAGACTTTGTCCTGTCTCTCTTTTCACTAGCCCCTTTCAGAACACTTGGAAAACAGCAAGTGATCGGAAAAACTGTCCGTTGGTAATGACTGTGCGCTTAGACTGTCCCAGTTCCTCTGTTTCTGTAGATGCTGACACGGTGATAGAATGTGGCTTTGGGGATGAATCTCCAGTCTTTAAACTATAATCCTTTTCGGCATTTATGCCCTAGGAATAAAACTCCACATAGAGATATCTGCTCCATAGGCCTCTTGGGTTTCTCTACTAAATTGCCTTCAGTTGGATAGCTGATGCATTAGAGATTTCTTTCTCAGAGCTCTGAAGGCAGGGAGTTTCCACCAAAGGTTGGCAGATTCTGTGTCTGGCAAGAACTCACTCTCTGGTTCGCAGATGGCACCTTCTCTCTGTCCTTATCTGCCCTTTGTAAGGGCACTCATGCTGTTCACGAGGGCTCTGTCCTTGGGAGTGACACACGTCTCATCTGATACTGCCATTTGGGGGATTAGGTTTTTGCATGCACCTCTAAACCACAACATTATGTTCAATAGCATCTATTGCAACACCGTTTGCAGTGGGAAAGAATGGAAACAACTAATAAATCCACGTAGAACAATACTTACAGGTGTAATTTGTGTTAATGATGAAATATGCTACCATTAAAGACAATCAATTAACTTAGTACTCATTTACATGAAGGTTGAGGCCTGTAATCCTCATTGATACAATTATTGTCAAGAAATGAATCCAGGCATGGTGGTATACAACTGTACTCCAAGCAGTACGGAGGCTGAGACAGGAGGATCAGCTTGGGATACACAGTGAGAGCCTGCATCAAAAATATTCTTAAAAAATAGAAAAGAAAGAAAATAAGGTTTTCTTTCTTTTAAAAATATTTCATAAAGCTTTAACTGGAGAAGAACAACACTCATTGTGTTAATCTGATTGTAAGGGATGTGCTCCATCAGATATTCAGGGTACCTGCACAGCGCAACATGCTATTTACAGAAAAGAAAGTACTGTGTGTGTGTGTGTGTGTGTGTGTGTGTGTGTGTGTGTGTGTGTGTGTCGGGGAGTTAATATGAACATAAAGGAAAGCATAACAGTATATACAACTGAGCTATAAATAGTGATTTTTTTGACAAGATATAACTTGCTAGTCAGTAGTAGAGGATGGGGCAAATAAACCACGAGAATCAAAATTGCAGACATATCACTTATCTGCATTCATATGTGTGAATGATTCAAAGGAACTAACGTTGTAAGTGTTTTTTTCTATGAATTTCCAAAGGCATTCTCTCCTTTTGGGCTTATAGCCCCTGGGAAGCTATGTGGAAGATACACGTGTGTATGTTCTTTCCTTACAGAGAGCTTGTGGATGAAGTCAACTTGAAGTCTTAATATTGTAGAAAGGCATGGATGGAAAAGCCTTATTCATTTTCAAACGTCTCTGGGCAAGACTTTCCCATCCTTGTCTCTACTTAAATGATGCCAGGGGACTTTCACCTGCTCTTCACAACCAGCGGTGCAAAGCACAGACCCAACTCTGGTAGTCTGTTTCACTTTTTCAGAGTTGAAAAATAATGTACTATGAATTGCTTAACCCGCTATTTGGAAGTGCTACAGCTCAACTTATCCAGTTTTTATATTTGAAAAGTTATGCACATATCTTCCTGTCTTCTACTGGTCTCTCTTATTTTGCTACTTTACACTGCAAGAAGGTCCCCCAATGTGTGCAAACACATTGTTCCCCCAACGTGTACAAATACATGACTTTCTCCCCCTACCCAATGTGCGTAAGCACATTATTTTTTTCTCCCCCTACCTAGCATGTGTAAACATATTATTCCCCCAATGTGTGTAAACACATTGCTTCTTTCTTCTGCTTTCTATAAAACCTGGATTTGGACCGTGGAATTCGTGGGAAGTGGGAAGTGGACTTCACATGTTTGTGTTGCTCAGGACACAATAATGCTTCAAACACTAGCATTGTTGGAACAGTACTGAAGGGCTACTTTCCCCTGGTGATGTTGTGTGGCTTAACTAGTCCCCTAGCACTATGCCGTAGATTGACTAGTCCTCTAACACTATCCCGTGTGGCTTAACTAGTCCTTTAGCACTATCCTGTGTGGCTTAACTAGTCCTTTAGCACTATGCCGTGTGGCTTGACTAGTCCTCTAACACTATGCATGTGGCTTGACTAGTCCTCTAGCACTATCCCATGTGGCTTGACAAGTCCTCTAGCACTGTCCTGTGTGGCTTGACTAGTCCTCTGGCCTTACACTGCAGCTCCAGTTTCTGCCCTTAAGGAATCAACTTGCCCAATTCCTCTAATCCTTATCTCTGATATCTATAATTTTACTATAACATGTCTGCTGTTTATGACTTCACATTTTTATCCTAACCGTTGCTTCTGTTCCTCTACCTCCCCATGAGGCCAGTCAGTCCAAAAATGCATCTGGTGTATTTAGATGGTCACACTAGCATTTATATAACGTCCATTCCTAAAGCTAAATTCTAAGCTATGTTCTTATAGAAATACCTCACATCTGTCTATCTGCTTCGTTGCTACCAAGAGATATCACGCATGACTCTGGCTACTGGTAACAACTGATCGGTACCTATAGCAGAGCATGATATAGTGGCGCTCTATGGATGAGAGAAGGAAGACAGTCACATTCCTCTACAAGCTTCAGATGAAGGTACATCTCATGTGTCATGTTGTTCTGTCAGACAGCATTTCACCTTGGGGCTCA